AATAGAACAGAACTGAAAATAATTTGATATATTAAAAAATGGTAAATATTTTGTTCCACTCGCTCCACATGTTGACAAAAATACACTCAATCAATGTTTTCTTGCGTAAAAACACATTATTCGATAGGACGTGATAGGAAATCTGTTATACCGACAAAATACCGGGACACGACACGCGCCGTGAAAAAAGCGCGCGAGATTTGAAATGTGGACATAGGCTACATCAGGGGTGGGCAAAATGCTGCCCGCGGGCAACGGGCGCCCGCGGGCGCCCGCGGGCATGCCCGCGGGCATGCCCCCACTCCAATCATCGCCCCACCACGTCTCAATCATATTCGGAACTATACTTCTAAAGCGCGACGTTCTTTCCCACTTGCCGAAACTGTCTCCCCACTCTTGCCGAAACTGTCTCCCCACTCTTGCCCGACACGCACAGCTATTGCCCGCGGGCAAACGGGCGCCCGCGGGCAGTGAAAATTGCCCAGGCCTGGGCTACATGTATGTACATAAAAAAAACACGTAAGAACAGACCGTTTCTCTTTCGATATTTGCAGTTTTGAATTTGAAGCTTCGCATTTTGACCACATGAGGTGTTCAACATCAATTCAGACTTGATCCATCGCTCCTGCGGTTCGATCATGAATCTTTTCTTCCAGCGTGAACTCGTGAAAAGTGAAAATTTTCATTGACGAATTCAATATATTGGTAAATAAGATTTTTCACTTTTCACTTTTACGCCGGAGGAAAAGATTCATGGGGTTTGTTTTCTGTTCCTGCACTGGTGAACTAGTGCAGTAAGCTAGAATGAGAAAAAATATGCTTGTCTTACTCCAATTTATTGCACTAGTTCACTAGTGTAGGAACAGAAAACAAGCCTATTATCGAGTCGCTGTATACTCTGAGACTGTTCTTTTTAACTGAACTCACTACACCATAGTATAACCATAATATAACTAGTGTGCCCACTCTCTGTCGGTCCTTTGATCTTTTCGGTTTCGATCACGTGGTATTTCGCCATGTTTTTGGTATCGGACTTCTTATATTTAAGATCATCTTAAGTATATACTCTTAATGTGTTTTCAACCAATCACAGAGCCGTATTGGCGTCTTAAGACAATACTTAAGATGATACTGAAATAAGAATCGACTATGAATACCGGCCATAGACTCATATACTAGACTGCGCCATCCGTGGGAGGCATCGGTCATAAGATATAGAAAGAGAGGGAGAGCAGAAGTGAGTTATGTGTCTCTGTCTAACTCGCATTACTCTCATTGCACCACTCACCACTCAGGATTTCTAGTAATTTACTAAATCGCAAGCAATCCAGCGGGAAAAATAGCATCGTCTACAGCGGTCTTAAGTCTATGAAAAGAACAGACCCACTTGTATCCGTAAATAAAAGTCAAATCTGGGGCTCGAGCACGAATCTGTTCTTCTAGCGTGAACTCGTAAAAAGTAAAAAATTTCATTGAAAAATATTCGTCATTCAATATTCGTCAATAAAATTGTTCACTCTTCACAAGTTTACGCTACAGGAAAAGCTTCATGACCGCGCCGCTCATTGGCTGTCGGTGCAGGAGCGTTCCGGTCCCCGAGTAATTCCCTATCCGACGGCTAATCGGCGTCCGTCCGTGATACGAATCTGGTGAGAAATCAGCCTGGGTGCCGGACGATCGCGCGGGATCGCTCATCAGTGTTTCGCAACGTTCGGGGCGGATCGTTCTCTCGCACGTCCGCGCTCCGCTAATGAAGGTACTCCTCGAGATCGCATGACGTAACGAAGTCTCGTCGTCTGGCGCAGTGTTTCTTAGTGGCCATTTTGTTCCCAACCGCACGGCTGATTAAGGTATTACGCATACAGATAAATTAGCGTAACTTAAGGCGGTCCGGCGAGACGCTCGACGAGACGGTCGCGTCCGCACGCGCGGGGGCAGATTGCCGTAGGAGGGTATCGCCATTCCGGTAGTAGATCCCGAGGAAAGTCGTCCCAGAGAGATGGCTCGCGTTCCCCCGCCTCCCTCTTCCCGATCCGAAATCCCGCGGGAACCGCGATTCTCCGTTGTCTTCGAGCGGGACCCAGAGTGACTGTTCATCCCACCCTCTCCTCCCCCGCCCCCATTTTCCCGTCTTCGTCAAACTTCCCGGGGACGAGGAGTTCCCAGGGTTGACTGGCGACACGTAGGACGTAAAGTCTAAACCCTCTCGAATTCAGGATTAATTTTTTACCTCTCTCTCTCTCTCTCTCTTTTACACACTCTCTCTTGAGTACGTTTTATACTTTGAAACAGTTGCGAAAGAGTAGACAATGCGTACGGAGCAAAGTAACGCTTTACGATCAATGTCTCTCCTCGAGACACGTTCCCTCTTGCCTACTCGAGATATTGGAAAAAAAAGAGAAAAAAAGTGCGATTACCACGCCGATGGTAAAACCTTGCTCGTTGTATCGCATCCTGATCGCGAGCAAGGCTCTAGTTTCGTTGCGAAGTGTCCCTCTCGCCGTACATTTACCGTTTGTCTACTTGGGCTACCTGACTACGTTACGCTCTCTCGCTCCAGGTCCGCCTGTCTCTCTGTTTCTCTCTCTCTATGTCTCGCGAAAATGCACATAAAAAAAAATCGCCCAAGTCATATGAAGGCGGGAGGATCCGGAACGAGCCGTGTACTCATGGAAGGCAGTTTCTATCCTTATAGGTGCGTCCGTGTACGTCCGTCCTTCAGTTCGGCCCGTCGTCGGCGTGATGGACTCAAAGCGGTACGAACGCAGCGCCCGATCGCATACCGAATCGCCACCTGCTCCGCCCTCGCCTCCCATGTATAGCACAGGTTACACCACGACACACGACAGCCACAAGAGCAGGTCCGGCACGCGGCGCACGCCCTCGCCCGCCACGGACCACCATCGTAGCAGTAGATCCTCGCGGAACGACTCGCCGCCGCAGGAGCGGCGCAAGCGCCGCCGCAGCGGCTCCAGGTCGTCCCCGGTGCGCTCGCACAGACGGTCCAGGTCCAACGACAGAGAGCGGGACCGCGACAGAGAGAGGTCGCGCAAGTACTCGAGGAGGGACAGATCGCGATCGAGGTCGCGCGGCAGGTCCCGCTCGAGGGACAAGAGGCGGAGTCGCAGCCGCAATCGCAGCAGGGACAGGGACAGGGACAGGCATAGGTACAGGGAGAGCCGCAGGCACCACGCCAGGGCGACCTCGTACGAGTCCGACGCCCTGGAGGAGCATGGGGATGGGACAGGAGCGATGATGCGGCAGGCGGCCGCTGTTGCCCCGCAGCCGAATGCCTTCAAGAACGACGGTAGTTTTATGGAGATGTTCAAGAAGATGCAGGAGCAGATGCAACCTGCCGCGCAAAAGCCCACCACTTCCGTGCTGGAGGAAAAGCCGGTGGTGCCGCCGCCGTTGATGGTGGGCAAGAGGAGAGGCGGCAGGATTCTAAAGACTGGCATGGTGGCGAAACCAAAGACGGAGCAGGCGGTGGAACAGCCCAAGGATGCGTGGTCCCTTTACATGGCGGAGGTGAAGAAGTATCGGGAGGTTTGCTGCCAGGAGGAGGACAACACGCGGCCGTTGGTTAAATAGCTTCAACGATTCGCGTCGTCCCGTCTTTACATACTTTGGCTCATTACTTTTCTTCTCTAAGATATCTGTAGTTGATCGTAAGCATCCTTGTAAACGAAAAGATAAAAAGAAAGAACCGCGGAACAAATACTTCTCCTCAGAGGTACCTTTCGTTCATTTTGTTTCCGCCGTGAGCACTTTCTGTTCACTTAAGCCCAGCGCCAACTCTTTGTTAACGAGCTGAACGAAAGAGAAACGGAGAATGGAGGAAGTGCCGTGAGAAACGGACTCATTTGTGATATAGTGTCGTGCGTGCTTTTTTGAGAGACGTATGGACGAGAGCGAGAGAGAAATATACAATTTATATACATTTACGGGCAGGTAAAAGGGGGTAAAAAAAGAGGGAGAGAGAAGGTGAGACGCGCGACCGTGAATCCGTGCTGAAATTTAGAGATTAAATAATTTATAGCTTGTTAAGCAGTGTCCTATATCGTCGCAATCATGACGAAGCATCCTGAAGCGAACATCACTGCGGAAACATGGCGAACCGCACCGTACGATCCTAGGTTCCCTAATCAGAATCAAAGCAGGTAAAGGTCAAACGATCTCGCCATAAACGTAGGAAAAATGTTTGTAACAAACGTCAATTTTTTACATTTAACGAACCCTCAGACCTTGTATAATAAAGACCATTGCTATTGTTATGCTTGAAAGATTTCCTCCTCATTCTTTATAGTATTAAAAAATGACTTGTTCATCAACTATACGAGTATATTCGTTTAATTGTACTCAAATTTATCAAAAATAAAATCTCAAGAAATTCTTGTTGCATCTATAAATTCACATTTATGTATATACACTCGTAAATTACTTGGCAAGTAATAATAATAATAAAAACAAGAGATAACCACTTCATGCAAGCATGATAAGGGCGTAGTATCGCGCTATTTATTTTATTTAGAGAAGAGGACTGGGCGAGTGCCTCTAATCAATTTTGATTATCTGTAGATACTGTTACCAGAGCTACGTAGACTTTCACCGATGCAAGAAGAAGCACAACGAGAATTACGAAGCTTGTCAGTACTTCAAAAGGTGCTACGCCTCGATGTGCCCGAACGCCTGGGTGGAGAAGTGGAACACGCAGGTCGACGAGGGCAGGTTCGCCGGTCGCATCTAAAATATTCAGCGGTCGATATACCACATCTGCTTTTCATCTTAGTAAATTTTTGAAACAACCTAACAGGATTCTAGGATCGTGTCATTTCCTGTTTGTAAAATAAGTCAATAATCTAAATAAATCTAATGACACTTCAATCTCTTATCTCTCCCATCAAGATCTCCTGTTACGTTCTCGGCAGATAGCAGTTACACGTTTTTGTTTTCTGCTGGCGATCATAATTGTAACGATTTAATCTGCGAATTGTGTAAGTCGCCAGAAACACTATCTACTTGTGGTATAATTAATAATATATACATAGCTCGCGGCACGTTTTAATAAAGTATACAGCAATACTGTAAATCTATATAAAATATTCATTGTCAAGTCTCTGTGTCTTTTTGATAAATTTACCCTTTCGATTTAAACGGTGCTTTCTACTCTCCGACCGAGCGATGTTAATTACTTAAATGCAACATTCGTTATAAATGAAACTTTATTAAACAAATATTGCATAGTCTCGAACAATCAAGATATTGCGCGTCAATGTGTTGTAATGATTATCAGTCAATAATTATCAGGTATAATTACATAATATTGGACCGTACTAGTAGAATTTACAATAGATACTCAATTATGACAATTTATTCTGAAAGCGATTCCCCGAGATCGAGTGAATTAAAAATTACGAAACATGAGGCGACACTAAAATAATGATTAGAAGAGTGGAGACAGCGCTACGTAATTATTTTTTAAACAGTTACCGTTAATCATGCTTTGTCGGCAAACTGTATGCGTCAAGTCGGTAGGTTATATCTACCACAGCCCAGAACCGAAACGCATTTAATTTATTTGTATTCGTACAATATTGTAGCTTAATACTTATATAGGTACATTAAGTTGTAAACGTTGCAAGATTTATCGATATCGTCTTTACTTGCCGTATGTTCCTGAACATCGTCTCACTCTTCAGAATGCGTCAACCATGTTACAAATATTCTACATAACATGATCTCTCGTGATTTACTTAAATAAGTACCTACTTACGCGCGATCGCACAATATACATGCAACTTATATCACTTACAAATATCTCGAGAGACGATCGACATACGAAAATAAAGTTAAAGGGAAAAGTACGGAGTGTCATCAATGCAGGCTGGACGTCTTTTGCTTTTTTGAATGCCGGATCGCCTCGTCGGTTTCGCTGTCGGATGACTCTGACTCGGTGTCGTTGTATCCACTCATACCCCCGAATTCAGGACAGAGATCTTTGATCACTGCTTCGCCATTGACATTGGCGAGCCAGCCATCATTGAGCCCTTCCTGTTCCAACTCGCGAACTTCAAAGAGACAAACAAGTTAGAATGAGTAAACGGGTAATATCCTAGCTTTGCTTAATTTACCATCACAGTGCAAAAAAGTTGTTTTACAATATAGCAAGTTAAATTAATTGTAAGAAGACTCTAAGAAACAATGCAATGCTCGTTCTTTATCGTATTAAAATGACTCGTCCATCAACTATACAAATATATTCGTTTAATTGTACTAAAATTTGTCAAAAAAAAATCTGAAGACATTCTTGTTGCGTCTATATAAATTCACATTTAAGTATACACGTCATTTAGAGAGGGATGTTTAGCTGTTTAGCCAACAAGTGCAGTTAATAAGAAACACAATAATTTAAAATTATAATAAATTTAACAATTCATACTTTGTATACTCGCTTAATCGATCGCGTACTTTTCTAATCGGACTTATTACAATTATGATAATAAATTGTTTTACAATTACTTTATTTTTCGGCCTTGTAAAAATTAAATTATCAGGAAACTCAAGAAATTGAGAAAGAAAGAGAGAGATCAAGAGCCGACTTTGAGTCTGTACACACGTGTTTTTATGTAACTGTTTAAAAATGGAGATAATTACTTTCATTTTCCAGGGTAATATTCTGTTTCTTGATGTCATCGATTTCTTGCTGAATAGATTGTTGTTTAACCCGCAATAATCTGATGTACTCGGCGGCCTTTTTCAGGATTTGCGCCCTGCTCGCGACCTTTTCCCCCTGCAGAGTCGGTACGACGTCCCGAAGATTGCTGAAACTATCTTTGATGTGGTCTCGCCGCTTTCGCTCCAACGCATTATGATGCGCCCTTTTCTCGGCCTAATATCATAAAGAATATCACAGTCACCATATCTGACTCAAACTGTCAAAAGAACAAACTTAAATTTAATGATACAAAACGAATTCTGATTTTCAACACTAAAGAGGGAAGGTACACATCTGCCGACGATCAAGATATTATCAACCAATGCGTCGCACGACGCACGGCGGCGTCCGGATTTGTGCGTAATACGCGTTTCAACGAAACAAAAGACACGAAAGCGCCAACTTAGGTTATTACTTACTCAACCAAGATGCCTACGATAGCCGGGACAGAGGAAGCGTGGCATAACGCTTTATCTACAATGCGTGGAGTCAGCCGGGCGTAAGAAGCAGGAGTAAGGAGATAAATCAATTTGATTTCTCACTCCTACTTCAGCCCGTACGCTTACTTACAGCGAATCGGAACGGCCAGTGTTGCAAATATTTTAAAAGTGATGCCTGCACCTTAACTTCCTTACACCAAAAGCCAAGCGTTACGGTTCTCTCTTACTCCTTGCGCCAGGCTTACTCTACGCATTGTAGCGATGACACATAAGAGCAAGTATGATAGGACAACAATGTTTATTTTTCGGCACATGGAGGTCATTCGTGCGGTGTCAAAAGGATCGGAAGATAAAAATCAACCGGTGGCATGTTAGAGACTCCCAAAAAAGTGTACGGAAACTCATGGGTCTATTCCGCAAGAATACTGTATAACGCTGTATCTCCGTGAACTATTTAGCGTTACGGAATAAGAGAGAAGGAGCGATGAGCAAAAAGAAGTGATAGCTAAAGAGACCAAAAGTTACAGAGCAAAAATCTTCCGATTTCTGATTATGATCGCACGTATCGGCGAGCACTGGTGAGAAAAGTCTGGTTTACGCAAGGCCGTAACTGTTGAATTATACCGGAAACGGTAAAACTTGTCCAATCACCTTTAACAGAGAGGAGAATAGTTGACTGCGACTGGTTAATTTTCACCCATTTCGACACAAGTTAACAGCTACGACCTTGCTTAAATCAGTCTTGATGTCATTTTTGGCAGACACAACATCTACAGCGCTAAACAAATGAGGTTAGATACACCGTAATCTGCGAGAGGTGTAGAAAAGGAAATTGCGCGAGAGGGGTCTTTTTCGTTGGCACACAATAAGGAGTTCTGATCTTGACCTTAGGAGGAAAACGCCGGGGCCGATTGTGTAATTTCACCTGGGAGTAGTATTGTGTGTTGTTGGACTGCCTCAATCTGGAGTCCGAATCGTCGCCATCCTAGATACATGAAAGTTTTGTTAGGAAATGCTGGCGAGAGCCAAGCTTGCCCTGCGCATACTTACGTCGCTCTCAATGTCGATGTCACGATCATCGTCGCTCATCCTCGTTGTGTTGCAATTCCGTATTAAAAAATCAGCACAAATAATGGTGCACGACAGCGACGAGACCACGGTGGATCGGAGCAGGTGCCGCAGTATATAGTGGCGTCGACGGGGTAGACGTTCTAGAATGTTCTCGTACCGATTGTACCGAACCGCAATTGTGTTGCCTGAAACATAGTGTAACTAGAGACTCTAGAGGTTTGTTCGCGTCGCACGCATAGACATAAGCCTAGCGGAGAGGAGCCTGCGGGTACTATTAGGGTATGTACTATTACATTTGTCGTACGACAAATTTTTCAAGCGTGTCGATTGGCCGCTGAATAGAAAGTTTCTAGATACTCGAGAATTTTACTATCCTTCAGCCAATCAATACGCTTAAAAAA